TCTAAAACACGATCCAGACCCAAACCCAGAGTCTAAAACACGATCCAGACCCAAACCCAGAGTCTAAAACACGATCCAGACCCAAACCCAGTCTCTAAAACCCTGATCCAGACCCAAACCCAGAGTCTAAAACACGATCCAGACACAAACCCAGACTCTAAAACACTATCCAGACCCAAACCCAGACTCTAAAACACTGATACAGACCCAAACCCAGTCTCTAAAACCCTGATCCAGACCCAAACCCAGAGTCTAAAACACGATCCAGACACAAACCCAGACTCTAAAACACTATCCAGACCCAAACCCAGACTCTAAAACACTGACCCAGACCCATAACCCCCCTGGCCCATTAGCTGAAACTGCCTCATTAAGTTTGTCTCACTGATTTGGACTGTTTCTGGACATTGTCCTTCATGTCTCAGAGGGGGTCCTGGTGGGTGTCCCTCAGTGCAGCGGGGTTTCAGGTGAACCTGGGGCTGTGTCTCAGTTTAGGGGCTGCTGAGTTCTGATACTGGAGCTAAACCCAAATTATTACAGGTTTATTTATTCACGGTTTTATTCTGAAGTTATTCCTCCAGTGAAAAGATGAGTGAAGACACGTCCCAATGCAGTTTACAGCTGAAGACACATGGTCACACAAACATACGTCCTCTGAAGGCTGGACGTCTCATGTCACAGTAGCCGACCTGGACTCTGAAGACTGTGGCCTCTGTGGGCCGTGGTCTGGATCCTCTGTAGTCCCTGAATTAAGACACAACCCYCCACCACCCCCAGATCTCTGTGACTAACCCTAACCCTGATCCTAAACACAACACACTCTGCCTCTGTCCTTAGACCCATGTCCACTGTGTCTCTGATATGGGATTAGTGTCCACATGTCCACTGTGTCTCTGATGTAGGACTAGTGTCCACATGTCCACTGGGACCACAGTCTGAGAGCATCTCCTGTGTTGCAGGCGGGGATCTTCAGCATGCACTCCTGTGAGGAAGGATTTGCCACAGGAGGACGAGACGGCTGCGTACGCCTTTGGGATACGGACTTCAAACCCATCACCAGGATTGACCTAAGAGAGGCCGAGCAGGGCTACAAAGGTCTGCTGTCCTCTGAGTCATGTGATCATTTACCTGTTCCCAGACATCTGACACACCTGTAGCCTCACGTCAACACAGCATGAGTCTTTGTAACCCCTGTAACCTGTGTCAGTAGGTCTGACTCCTGTAGAYCTCCTCAGCAGGTAGGACCTGTAAGACCCTGAACCAGGATCCAGTTTTTCCTCTGCTGGTTCTGGTTCCAGGTCTGTCGATTCGCAGCGTGTGCTGGAAAGCGGACCGGATCCTGGCAGGGACTCAGGACAGTGAGATCTTTGAGGTGATGGTTCGAGACCGGGACAAACCGGTTCTCCTGATGCAGGGTCACAGTGAGGGGGAGCTGTGGGCGCTGGACCTCCACCCCAAACAACCAGTGGCTGTTACCGGGAGCGACGACCGCTCAGTCAGGTGAGTCTGATGTGAAAACACAGCATCCTTACCTGTCTGTCTCACCTGTCTGTCTCACTTGTCTGTGTCACCTGTCTGTCTCACCTGTCTGTCTCAACTGTTTGTCACACCTGTCTGTCACACCTGTCTGTGTCACATGTCTGTCACACCTGTCTGTCTCACCTGTCTGTCTCACCTGTCTGTCTCACATGTTTGTCACACCTGTCTGTCTCACCTGTCTGTCTCACCTGTCTGTCTCACATGTCTGTCACACCTGTCTGTGTCACATGTCTGTCACACCT